TTTAGAACTACAAGTTAAAAAAGAACATAAATAAAATACACTTCAGCTAATAGCTTCTAATTTATTTTCCCAAACCACGCAGAGCCGCAGTATAAGAACCAAAGAGCCGCAGGTTGCCGATCCCTGTGCTAGGGGGTGTGGGGAGCCATGGCCCCGCCCCCCATGGCATGAAGCAGGCATGGAGGAGATCCAGGCCCCAGACATCCATAGGCCCCCCAGAGCACAAGAGCCCAAGGAGGATCATCAGAGGGGCAACCGTGTCACCCACCTGGAAAGAGCAGAGGAAAACCCCCGTACATGTCAGCAGTATTAGAACAGCTGAGACACATTTTCTCTAAACACCAGTTCTCTGTGGCTTTTAAACCCCAGAACACGCTGCGCCAAAAACTGGTCCAGCCCAAGGATCGGGTCCCCGACACAAACAGAGTAACATAGTGTACGCTGTTAAGTGCAGGATTTATACATCGGGGAAACCAAACAAGCTCTGGTGAAGAGGATGGACCAACACAGCAGAGCCTCCTCGTCAGGCCTGGACTCTGCAGTCTATCTACACCTACAGGCCAGTGGACTCTTTCAATGATGAGGATGTAACATCCTGGACAGGGAGGAACGCTGGTTTGAGGGCGGAGTCAAGTCTGTCCTCTGAACTTTCTAACATGGCAATAATGTGATGAAAAAGTTGGGTAGAGTCCTTTCTTGCGTCAGTGCTGAAAAGTCTGTTATTTTGCAATCAGTCATAAACAAACTGGAGTGTCAGGGCTGCACCTGCCTTCAAAAGCAGCACAACAACAGCCACATGTGACTGTTTTAATTTGCTTTTAATGCAAAAAGCAAAGATGTGGGATAATAAACTTGTTAGTTTAAAGTTATTTTATTCCTATTTTCCTTGCAATAAAAGACAGAACAGCAGCAAACCAAGTTCTGTCTGATGGTTTGTTAGGAGGACCACAGTCTGACGTGTACTCGTGGACTGTCATAACGAGGTGATGGGGAGGATAAAATGAAGAGCGTCGTTTGTGTCGACAGGTAACAAACAAACAGAACTATTGAGTACGATAAATCGTTGCCACGGGTGTTTGCAGCACATTAGGCCTATAATGATGTGGCTAAAAATAAGAAATAAAATCATTGACATCAATGGCAGCACTGGACTTTATTCAGTTAAAGCTTCTCAAACTGTCGACAGTAGCTAGCCTGTTTAACACTTTACCTGTAAGACATGGCTGAGTTTAACTCCACCGGCTGGCCGGAGTGTTTCTGTGTGGAGTTTGCATATTGTCCCTGTGTGCAGGTTGTCTCAGGTACTCTGGCTTCCTTCCACAGTCCAGAAACATGCAGATAGTGGGGTTAGGTAACTGGCCTTTCTAAATGGCCCATATGTGTGAATGAGTCTCTCTGTGTTAGCCCTGCATCAGCTTGACAGTCTGTCCAGGGTGTACCCCTATGGCAGGGGTGTCCAGCTCCAGGCCTCGAGGGCCGGTGTGCTGCAGGTTTTAGATCTCACCCTGGGTCAGCACACCTGAATCGAATGATTATTTCATTCCCAGGCCTCTGGAGAACTTTATGACATGTTGAGGAGGTCATTTAGCCATTTGAATCAGCTGTGTTGGATCAAGGACACATCTAAACCTCCAGGACACCGGCCCTTGACGTTCCCCACCCCTGCCCTATGGTATCTGGGATAGTGCAAAATGCTAACTCTTGCCTCATTATTCTTCTCATTTCAGGATATTGACACCTGAAGGTCTGTACAACACGCCTGCTAGAAAGCTTTACATGTTAAACATGAGAAAAGCACAATGCATCAAGCATGACGACACATAGGTGACTTTAGTGGGATGTCCTGTAAAATGCTGAAGTGACCTAAATGGTGACTGCACGTAAATTTTTGAGCTTCAACATAATCAGGAACTTACTACTGGACATTATGTTGAAGCTCAAAAATTTACGTGCAGTCACCAAGTTCCTGATTTACACTTTACACTTCCAGTGTCTTACCCAGCTACACTATAGCATGTGCTGCTAGAGCGATCTATCCGTCCATCCATCCCTCTGTGTACTCTTAAATCATTGCACACTCTTCAGCCTCTGCTGTTGCAACATGAACTCTCCACCAAAAGACAGAATTACTGCTGCAACTGTTGAAAGAAAGGGAAGCAGCATCTAAAAACAGGAAGATAATTAAAAGAACATTTAACAGATGAAAGCTGTTCTTCCTCTTTTTAAGACTCAGTTTAACTCAGCAATGAAATCTGAAATCAGGTCTGCACTTCTGAGAAAAAGCTTCTGGTGCGTGATCCATCAGTGGGATGTAGTTTCCTTGTAAATTTCTTTCTTGCAACACAACTAGAAAGTGTGTTTTGTTGAACCCTGTACTGACCCACCGTTACACAACAGACAGGCTCTTCTGCTTTGTGCTATGGTTGTTAAAGACAGCGCACACTTCCTTCCAACATACGGGACACACATTTGGAGCTGAGGGTCTGAGCAGGAGGTAACAACTCACACGTAGATTAGTTCTTGCCTGCAAACTGTGAAGCAGACTCTGTTTTGTTTATACGATAGTTCACTTGCACATTTCAAGCATCTGACATGCTGATATGAAGATGACTTTAAAGAGCTGCAAAGAACTCTGACACTTACAGGCTTAAATAATGTTGATGCTTTAAAGAGAACAGAGACAGTGAGTATTTGTGTTGGTGTGTCTCTGACAACAAAAGGTCAGCTGTTTCAAAACGACTGATCAACAACCAGATTTTCTTTTTCATCTGAAAAGTCACTGATGAAGAGTCGTTTCCTCGGGCACAGGAGGTTATAAATACTTTTCTGTTTTCTTGCAGATCATGAGAGCTGCGGTGGGTGCCATTCTTCTGTTGCTGACTCTGTGTCAGGGTATGTTTCTTTATTCTTGGCATACATGCAACTTATGCATTTTATTAATTCCACTTAAAGACTGAAGCACAACAGTAATCAGGTTATTTATTACAAAACAGAGAAATAATCATTTAAAGAAATACAAACAAGTACCAACTTTTTATTGGGACTTTGAAGCTTTAACAGGAGTAAAAAATGTCTCTTTTCCATTTTCACCTTTTTAGTTAACATTTTATTTTTATTATTGAAGAGTCCACATTAGTTATTTAAATCCTGTATAATGTGTTAGATATACTGTAAAAATGTTTTATATCTCAAGCCAGAATGATCTCTTACATTATTTTCATGTGTGTGTGTGTCGTTTCCAGGAGAGGCGCTGCGATGCAACTTTTGTTTCTCAGACGACAGTGTCCTCTGCACTCCTACAAGCATCCAGACCTGCTCGGGACGGGCTAACGCCTGTGGTGCCGTGATATTCCAAGGCGCTCTGAGTAAGTACTCTGTGGAAGGTGTAGTGTGTCACATTATACAAGAGATTACTCCCATCAGAACAGAAGTCATCACCACAGGATAACAGTTACTTGAAACAACCCACAGCAGTAACCGAGCCACAGATCCTCCGAGAGGTTCGACAGGTCATCCGTCTATACCTGTATTTGAGACTTTTAAACACTGCATAAAGATAAGGAATGATAACACACACAAAAATTACATATGCTGCATGTGCATCTGATTGTTTTTATTATTTTATTCATTGTCTTACGTGAATATATAAACACATGTCAAACATATGGCCTGGGGACCAGAATCGGTCTCCAAAAGACTCCAATCCGGTCCACTGGACAGTTTTGTAAATTTTGATGGAGGGCACTGATTTTGGACTTTTTACTGTATTTTCGTAGCTTTTACTGTTTAAATTCACACTACACCAAAGTAAGCATCATCTCATCAATAACAGTTAAAATATAGATAAAAGGGGCTGTAAGTGGCCCACAGTGTAAATGGAGTTTGATCTAAACTATGTATCATTATATGCCTGCTCAGTAAGTATGTTCACACGCTCACTTTAAGCGTCTGTGTTTCATTATTGTAGGGTCTTCGTTCCGTCAGTGCATGAACATGGCGGTGTGTCAGGGCTACGTCACAACACCTGGTGTGATCGCCCGATGCTGCAGCACCGACCTTTGCAACTGATCCTCTTCCTTTAAGTCCACAACCACATGATCGCTGATTCCTGAATCAAGACTGGAGGTTGTTAGCTTCACATCCTTCTTACACTGCTTCCAATCAAGGGCACTTCTGTTTGCTTTCTCTGTGATGGTATTTGGTGTCTTCTGTCAGGTCCAAAATAAACCAGTGAGCTTTGACTCTGAATGACACTAGATGGCAGTGGTACACTATAAACACCGCGAGCAGCCACTCATCAGTCTGGAAATCTGATATAGGGACAACCACATTTAATAAAGAGGAAAAAACAAAAAGCCCACACTCGCTCTTTCTTGTTACATAAACTGAATCACATAGAATGACATATTTGAAGCCTGTATCTCTATACACTGATCTCAATTAGTACCTATTGAACAGGAAATAATCCAGCCATTCCCAATCACAGTGCAGTGGATTCTCCTTTGGGAATAGTTCCTCCCTTCTGAGACTGTAAAATAAATCTGTACGAGCTTTGTGCAGTTGGACTTTTGTCCTTTTTTTAACTCGCTCAGCCTGTGTCAGGTGGCTATGAGTCCATTCATCAACTCTGGAAAAACCCCTCAGATCTTGACACAGATAATGTGTCAGGGCTCTGTGTGCGGGCAGGCGGGGATGAGGATCCAAATGCAGGACTCTGAGACAGAATTGTAACTGGAAACCTCAGCTTTATTGCGGCACGAAACAAAAACAGAAACCAAACCGTGAAAACACAAACTGGACCACACAGGCCATTCTGAGGGTTCGACACGACACTGACACAAAGAAACACTGAGCTTAAATACACTGAGCAAGCAATGAGACCTAACGAGACAGCAAAGCCAGAAACACTGACATCAGACATGAACCTTCAAAGTAAAACAGGAAACACTTAAATAAGAGAGAGAGAAAGACTAGACACTGACCTAAAGCTGCAATAATAACAAAATACAACCAGAACATTAATCATAATACAGAAATATACCAGAATAACTGAAACAGATTTATCATAATAATCAACAAAGCACCAGAGAACAGAAAACAATCCATCATTCAAAAATAAACCAAAACATAAGAAACTCAAAATGAACCGTGACACAATGATTTATCACACTGAGGTAATTCTGTGTCCCTGCTGTTTGCAACAGGGATTTGCAGCTGTGTGACCGAAGACATTCAAATTATTCCTAAAATGAAGAAACGTTTTTCTTTAGGCCAGAAAGACAACTTATAAGCACTGTGAGTGCATGTAATGGTGAGAAACGCATTGTCAGTGAATAACTTCATGAAGAAAGCTGCAATTATAAAAGATGACACAGACAAAGATATCTTTGCATGAATACTGTAAAATTCATTATGCCTGTTGTTTGACCTTCTTTTTAGATGATAGTCTGTGGTCCCAGGACGCCTGTATACCTGCATCTCTACCAACTTGCATTGCAGTTTCTGTGCGCTCCAGCCTCTTCTGTTCCATGTGAGGATTTTCTCTAAGGCAGGAGAAATGACCTCCTAGAAAAGAAACAGACTCGGCCATCGCACAGAGGAACACATTCCCTCCTTAAATAAAAACCAAACAGGGTAACCTTTAATGCATCATGTTTTTACTTTACAAGTTCATTAGCATTTTCCCTTTCCAGTTCACAATCAATTCTACCCCCACGTCATTATCCCATAATTTTGTCACCTGCTAAAAATACATGTTCAAAGCAACACAAGGGTGGCCCAATATCAGACAGAATTATCAACTCCACTCTGTAGAGTGAGCAGTAATCACGAAGCACTTTAATTTGTAGATTCAAGCTGTTCTTTATATTTGTCACCAACAGATGTCACTATTTTAACATATTGTAACGTTCCTATAACCTCTCAAGCACCAGATGTTTTGTTCTCACCACAGTATATTGAGGAGGTACAGAAAGATGGGCCGTTAATCCTGAGGAGTTGTCTGGTACAACTCACTCTCCTGCTCCAGAACAATAACAGACTCCTGCTCCCCTTCCCGCACACACTCAAGGACTTTTCCTGCAGCACAACCAGAACATGTCTCGAATTGAATGCATGTATATATTTTATATATATATATATATATATATATATATATATACCTCCCCGGCTTGGACAGTCTTGGTCGTTGTGTCCTTGGGCAGGACACTTCACCCGTTGCCTACTGGTGGTGGTCAGAGGTTCCCGGTGGCGCCAGTGTCCGGCAGCCTCACCTCTGTCAGTGCGCCCCAGGGCAGCTGTGGCTTCAATGTAGCTGCCATCAGCAGTGCGCTATACAAATACAAGCCATTTAGCATTTAAGTTGTTACTGAATAGCTGGAAGAACGTTTGGAAAGAGGAGCTTTGCTTCATCTGTTGCAGTTGGATTTAGAGTAAACCATTTAACCAAAACTGGCTGCAGTATCTTTGGACTTGCACAAAGCATTTGACACATTCACTGCTTATTAAAAAGCTTCTACACCATCAGTTATTCATAAGTGTCTTAAACTGGATAAAATTCAGTCAATCAATACTTTAGTTAGATAGCCCTTTTAAAAGACCAGAGGTACTCCAAAGTGCTTCTCAATAGTGTAATATGAAATAATAGAATGACATACAAACGCAATAAAAGTACAAATTGTACATCCGATGAATCACTAACTAATCATTGCGCAAATATCAGCTGGAAGACTGTTCCAGATGTTCGGTGCAGCAATGGCAAAAGCACGATCACGTCTGGTTTTCAGCCGGGACCGAGGTTGCACCAAGAGCATTTGACGCGATGACTGAAGTGCTCAACTAGGAGTATACAGGCTGAGTGGCTTTTGAATGTAAACAATAAAATCTTAAAATCAATCCGATATTTGATTGGCAGCCAGGATCGGGGTAATAGAATCAAACCTTGTAGTACCAGTTAAAAGGTGTGCCGCTGCATTTTGGGCAAGTTGTAGTTTATGAAGAAGGGCAGATTGGAGGCCCAGGTAAAAGGAGTTGCAGTAGTCTAATCTTGAGGTAACAAATGCATGTATAAGTTTTTCAAGATCCGTTCGCGGTATGTAATGCTTAGCTTTAGAGATTTGTCGTAGTTGGTAAAAGCTAGACTGTAATACAGAGGACACGTTTGAAGGAACTGTCCAAAAGGACACCCAAGTTACGTACTGTATCAGAGAGGGAGGTAGCAAAGGGCCCAAATATATCGGTTAATTGTCCCCGAGGGATGTGGCTATGAAAGATAATAATTTCTGTTTTCTTTTCATTTAACAAAAGGGAGTTACTGGATAGCCAGCCTTTAACCTTCCTCATACAATCAAGAAAGCAGCATAGTGAAGATGGGGTATCGTCCGTCAGACGAAAATAGATTTGAATATCATCAGCATAAAGATGAAAAGAAATTTTATTTTTGTCAAATATAGAGCCCAAGGGTAACATGTACAATGAGAACAACATAGGGCCAAGAACAGAGCCCTGGGGCACACCACAATGAAAAGGGGTAACAGAGGAAGAGTAGCTCCCCATCGTAACAGAAAGGGAACTTTTGATACGATTTAAACCATTCAAGGGGGTTCCCTTTAATGCCTACTAAATATTCCAGTCTTGTTAGCAGAATGCTGTGGTCCACTACATCAAAGGCAGAAGACAAATCCAGTAAAACCAGGACCACAGGGCGCCCTGAATCCACAATTAAAAGAAGGTCATTAAAATCTCTCAGCAGAGCAGTTTCTGTACTATGACATGATGATGTGGTTTAGACCCAGACTGAAATCTGTCGCTAATGTGATTAGCATCTAGATAGGCCTCTAATTGCTGAAGAACGACTTGTTTGCCATAAAAGGTCATTTAGAGATCGGCCTATAATTTGCAAAGTCTTTGTGGTCAAGGCCACTTTTCTTAATGACAGGTTCCACAACCGCATGTTTAAAAGCAGTCCGAACGTGATACGATAGCAATGATGAGTTTATTAGAGATAGAATGCAAGGCCCGATTACATCAACGCCATCCTTAATAATACGAGATGGAAGAATGTCATGTAAAGAGTTTGAGCTTCTCAACTGATCTATTATTTCCTTTAGTGTTAAGAGTAGAAAGGTTCAAACTGGTAAAAGGCCGAACAGCATCTTAAAGTTGGAACTTGGCCCTGCATTTAACCGCCGGTAAATGCAGGGCCTTTAATGATGCAATTTTATCTGTGAAATAATTCAAAAATCGCTCACAGAGAGCTGTGGAGGCCTCCCTCAGCACATCTGACCGAGGGTTGACCACTGAATTAAAGATTTTAAATAAAACTCGAGGATTGTGACCATTGGCCACAATGATGTCCGATAAGAAGGCCGCTTTAGCCATCTGA